GGGGGCGGGCGGGGCAGGGCGCGACCCTCCTCCCCGCCAGTGCTGGGCGGTAAAGTGGGTCCACCTGGTGGGGACAGAGCGCTCCGCCGGGAACCATCCCCAGCGGGACCGGCTGGCTCTCGCGGGCAGGAAACGGGTAGTGTTCTGAGGCGGTTCCGGCCCAAGTTTCAGCTCCCTTAGGCCGCAGGGTGTTTACTGGAAAGAGAAGGATCTGACCATTTCCATAGAAACCCCAAAAGAATCAATAAACTATTAGAACTTGTAAGGGAGTTCGGTCAGGTGATCATATTCAAAATCAAATATAAAAAAGAGTTAACTTTCCTTTATATCAGCAATAACCTAAATTTAGGAAAAACAATAGAAAGTAAAATAGAAAACTAAGGTATTTACAATATCAACTAAAATATAAAGTGTCTAGAAATTACACTGACAAAAATGCACTTGGTCTTTGTGGAGAAATATTTAAATTTCTCTGCAAGGGCATAAAGGAAGGCCTAATAAATAAATAGAGGGACATGACATTTTTATGGATAGGAATATTTAATATTGTACAGGTATCACTTCTACCCAAGTTATTATATATAAGCCTAACATAATTGGAATAAAAATCCTATCATGACTTCTGGAAAATTGTGCAATGACTTGATATTGTATCAATATATGGAATGAAAGCCCCATCCTGGCCGAGCGCCAGTCCTCAGGGAAGTTTTTGGACCGCTGGGAAGCTTCTCCTGCAAGATGGCTCAGCAATGTTTTGTACTTATCAGTGTACAAGTCTTGCACTTCTTTTATTAATTGATTCCCAGGATATTATATTCTTTTTGAAATTATGAATGTATATGGATGTTTTCTTAATTTCATTTTCCAATTGTTCATTGCTAGTATATAGAATATAATTGATTTTTGTATATTGATCTTATATCTTGTGACCTTTTCTGAATTCGTTTATTAGTTTTAGTAGTTTTTGTGTGTGTGTGGATTCCTTAGAATTTTCCACATAAAAGATTGTTATTTGCAAATAAATAGATTTTTTTGCTCTTTCTTTTCAATCTAGGTGCCATTATTATTATTATCATTATTATTTTGGTGCCTTATTGCATTGGCTAGAACCACCAGCACAATGTCAAATAGCAGTGGTAATAACAAACAGACATACTAGCCTTGTTCCCAGTTTTAGGGGAAAAGCATTAAGGGTTTTGTGTTTTTTTTTGTTGTGTTGTTGTTTTTTCCCCCATTAATTATGAGGTTAGCCATAGGTTTTTCCATAGATGTCTTTTGTCAAGCTCCTATTTTAATTTGTTATGATTTTGTTTTTCAATCTTGAATGAGATTGGTATATCTTTTTCTCACCTTTTTTCTCCACCTGTATGTGTTTTTTAATCTTAAGTGTCTTTTATAGACAGTATATAGTTGGTTTTTTCTTTTGTTGTTGTTTTTGCTTTTTTGTTTTTAACCCAGTCTGACAATCTCTGCCTTCTGGTAGAAGTATTTAACCCATTCACATTGAATGTAATCATTGATATGGTTGGATTTATGACTGTCATTTTGTTGTTTTCCATATGGCTTGTGTCTTTTTTGTTCCCCCATTTCTCCTTTACTGATATTTTTGATGATAGATTTTTTTTTTAGTGGACCATTTTAATTTCCATCTTAGAAAACAAACAAACTATTCCTTGAGTTAAATTTTTTAGTGGTTCCTCTAGAGATTAAAATATGTATCTTAACTCATCACAGGTACTTCAGTTTAATACTGTATTCACCCATTTAAATTATACACCTCTGGTTTTTAGTATATTCACAGATATGTTAAGCTACCACCACAGTCAATTTTCAAACATTGTCATCATCTCAAGGGAGCCCTACCTTATCATTCACCATCAATCAAGTTCACTGTACCCAGAAAAAAAAGACAAAAAACAACTCCAATGGCCTTTAGCTATCACTCCCTATCTTGTTACCCCTCTCCTCTCAGCCCTAAGCAGCCACTTATCTACTTTATGTCATCACTCTTTTTTTCTTAATTAGCCTGGCTAGAGGCTTATCAGTTTTTTATTGATTTTTTCAAAGAACCAGCTTTTGGTTTCATTGATTTTCTCAATTGAAAATCAATGTCCTAATTACATTGATTTCTGCTCTAATTTGTATTCCTTTTCTTCTGCTTAGTTTGCATTTAATTCTCTCTCTCCCTTTTTCAGTTTCCTAAAGTAAAAAGTTAGATGGTTGATTTTAGGGTTTTTTTTTGGTTGTTTTTTTTTTTAGCTGAGCCATCCTGCTACCTGTTGGCAACTCAGCAGCAGCTCAACTTGGGCCAGGAATTGAACTGGCAACCCTGTTGCTCAGAGCTTGCACTCGAGTGAGCTCTTAACCAACTGAGCCACTTGGCCAGCTCTTTTTTTCTAATATGTGTATTCAATGCATATACATTTCTCTGTAAGTACTGCTTCCACTGCATTTCACAAATTTTGATAAGCTGTATTTTCATTTAGTTCAAAATATTTTACAATTTCTTTTGAGGTTTCTTCTTTGACCCGTGTGTTATTTAGAAGTGTGTTGTTTAATCTCCAAGTATTTTGGGATTTTCCAGTTATTTTTCCATCATTGATTTCTAATTTAATTCTGTTGTCACCTGAGAGCATATATTATAGGATTTCTATTCTTTAAAGGTATGTTTTATAGTCCAGGGTGAGGTCTATGTGGGTGTATGCTCCATGTTCCATGTATGGTAGGTTTATTTATAAGACACCAACAAAAAATCCTTTATATCCACATCTTTATTTCAACAATTTTCTATAATAGCTAGGAGAATACAGCATTAATGACGCACATTTACTAAGTACAACATTAGACAACTACAAATTTAGAGCTTAAATGTCAATCTGATATTGTTTTGGTTTTCCTCTTAGCACTAGGTGATATCTAGTGAAAAACCCATGTTTCAAAGGCTTTTGTTGATATGAGGTGAATTATTAACTTATTTTTAAAAACTCCATGTGAGATATGCTGGGATGTGTTCACTTTAAAACTAGATTTGGTTGATAATGCCTTCATTTCTCAGTACTTCTGCTTCCTTTTTAATGGATGAACACTTTTCCTAAGAAGTTTCCAAGGATTAAAACTATATCATGTTTTTCTGTGTAGATCAAAGTAGAATTTCTTTCCAGATCCAACAAAGAAAAATTTTTGGAAAACTGCAATGTGCAATTTAATTTTAGTTAAAAGGCATATCCATTTTACAGTAAATTAGCAATTAAAGTTAATAATTAAAATACAGAATGCTAAATGTCATGAGCTCATTTCTGTGCAACATTGTTATAGCAATTTAAATTTTCCAAGGATACAAAAAAATCAATGCTACTCCAGGATTCCACAAAAATAACATAACCAGGAATCATAAATTACAACATACATATCCACATTTAAAGGAAAATTTCACCGTTTGTTGGAAAAAACTAAATGGCTCAAGAGATTTAGAGAACCTGAAATGTAGGCTAAAATCTTACAACATATGGTAACAATAAGATATTTGAAACTATTGACTCTGAAAAATGCATGAAACTGTGCTGACCTACCAAGCATTGAATTATACATACCAGTTTCAATTCAAAAACCATTTTTCTTTCAAATATTTCAGGCAACATACAATACTAAGGAAATGTTAGTCATTTTCAGGTATTTATGACTCTGATAACACCTGTTATATTAAGCTAATGAACATTGTAGCCAGAACAAATTATAAAATAAAAATAAGTATAAAATGCATGTTGGCAGATATTTTACATCGTACTGTTCAGTTCCTGATCTACTGAGAAATCCACTGTAACTCCAGGTTGCCTTCATTTAGGGTAATACAGTTCATGCGAATTTACAGCACTCTTTCTTGTTTTTAGTCAATCTTTTATAGGGTTCTTAAAAATTATTTTTGAAGAATGTCCATAAAAGGTTTTACAGTTGTACTCTTTATCTTTACTAAGAAAAGTTCAGTGGAAAACAAGCCATTTAAGTGTTACCAAGAACCTAATTCATCTCTATATTTCTTCCATATGTTCATTTGCTTACTGATGACACAGAGCCCCCAAAACTCAGGAACACTTTCTAAGCCCACATTTCACTGGCTCTGAGATTGTTGCTGCCTCAGAGTTCTAATACCTATTTGGAAATAACAGAAAAAAAAAGGAGCAGTAACAGGTGGGGGAGGGTCATGCAGAAAGGAGAGAAAGAATTAGTGGTTGGAGGCCACACCCAACCAAAACCCTCAAAAAACCTTGAGAAACAGGGCTTGATATCCTCTCCAGGCAAGATATCCCCTTACAGAGGAAAAGTTCCAGAGAATTTAAGGCAGCTCCATGAGGGAAGGGAGCAGGGGGTAAGGCGGCCCTCACAGCACAGCCTGAGAAGAGATTCCAATGCACTTATCCATGAACAGAGGCCACAGTACACAGAGAATGGCATGCACACCAACATGCATGCACACAGCACACCTCCTAACTCCAAAGTAAACACTGGCAGCATGCACACATCGTAAAGTTCAAACACACCCTGACTTGTATATGGCCTGCTCCGGGACAGCCCTTGGAAGGCACGCAGGGGTTAGGCCTGCAGCTGCAGGGTCTCCGCAGGCAGCACAGCTCACCTGGTGGATCTGACAGCTACTCTGAGGGGTGTGTGTTGAGTGACCTTCCTCTTCACTTTTGGGAGGCTTTCACTGCTTTCCATTATGTTGCGACAGGCTGCTACTAATTAATTACCTAAACACCGAGTATTGCACCCTCCAAGGGAGCACTGATTCATTATAGAAGTCAAACCTAGTTATAGCATGTAACTGACAGAAAGAACCACCAGGCTCCAGGTGCTTTATCTAGTTAGCACAAAGAACTTGGTACTTGGCATTGATCTGTTCCCATATGCCAGCTGCCAACTCTGATAAGGAAAAAGAGCACCTCTTGCTAACATGGGGCATCCCCACAGGTACCAGGCGGAACAGAACGTAGCCTCAGGACGCTTTGAAGTCTCCTGCCTCGCATCTGCCCACACTGCCACTGCCGCATATGGGGAAGCAGCTGGGCTGGGGGTGCTGTGCACCTTACCTCTCTCTCAAATAATCATCAGCAAATGATTACGGTAACTACTCTCTCTACCTTCCAGTGCTGTTGTGAGGATACAGTGAGGTAACGGAGAAAGCGCGCTGAAGGAAAGCATAGCAAGGAACTGTTCTGTACAGCTTTCAACAGAATTTAAGGGTCAAACACGAATTTTTGCTTTCTGTTTTATCCAAAACAGTTGAAGTTACCCAGAGGGCCCTTGATTATGCCTCCTGGGGAACTTTATGAACTGGTGACTCTGTGTGTGTGTGTGTGTGTGTGTGTGTGTGTGTGTGTGTGTGTGTGTGTGTGT